AAAAAAAAAAAGAAAAGCAAACAAACGAATAAATAAATAAAATCACCTTTTGGCACCAAAGACGTCTCAAGAATCCTTCCGCAGCCGTCGGCTCAAGAATCCCATCACAGTCACAACAGTGGCCACGTGCCTGTGAAGGGGAATCATGCTGTGACAGCGTATATAACACAGGCTCCACATTGGAAAGAATTCCCTGACTAGGCTCTGAGGCATGAGTAGGACCCAACTAGCCAGGGAAACAAGAGAGGCCGGGGAAGTGGATGGAAGTCTGCCAGGCAGGTGGCAACACGTGCAAAGGCCCTGCGGCTGGAGAGAGGAAAGCCCCCGTGAGGCTGCAGCATGGGGAGCTGAGAGGGTGGGCAGCCAGAGGGGAATAAGGAACGGGCAGGACTCAGCACACCTAGGGCCTGCAGATCATGCACAATGGGAAGCATTCAACATTTTAAACGGAGAGGGTACGCTCGGCTTTGCATTCTGAAGAATCCCTCTAGCTATGATATGGGGACGCTGGAGGAGGTAAGGCTGGATACGAGGAGTCCAGCCTGCAAGCCATCAAGTGATCCAGGTGAGGGACAGTAGTCATCTAGGCCAAGATGGTGACGGAGATAAACGAAGAACGGCCTCGGGAGAGGAAGTGGATAGAGTGGCCATGATCGTGGATGGAATATGGAGGGTGAGGAAGGAGGCAGCTCAGGGAGGACCCCCGCCTGTGCTGGAGCCCCGAGGCAGAACCTTCACTGAGACAAATGAACAAGCGAACCCGGGATCTGGCCCATGTCTGGGTCTTGCGGTGAGCCGTCACACATCCTTATCTGTCTATATCATAATCTTGCAGGTGAGGAAACTGAGGCCAGGGCAGGACCCGGGCTCTCTGGACCTGCCCGCACCCAGGCCACCTCACGCCAACAGAGCTGGGAAGGCCTCATCCGTGGCAAGAGGTAAACACGTCTGGCCCCTAAGGCACACAGTCCTGGGCTTCTCAGAAGACGGGATGAGTAATTTTGATAATTGAATTTTTGAGTTAGACTTAAAATACAGCCAAGATTGAAGAGGCAATTTGGCAGGGTCGACAGCCCCCAGGCAGGTCTCCCTGCCTCCACGGTGCTGAGAGCTTATTAGCAAGATCACTCTTCCTTCCATCCACAGCCCTTTTATAAGTGCTGTGTCGAGGAATCCAATTGTGGGCCTCCAAGCTCCTCTCTGGTCACCCGGAGACGTGTTGTTGCAGGAAAGACTGGGAATACTTTGGTTTGTAAGGTAGGGGAAGGGCTGCAATTTTGTTTTTGTTTTTTGTTTTTGAATAGATAGCATTCTGGGAAGACAGGATAGTCCAGAGGGCAGGATAGAGAACAGGTTGTAACAGGCTCGGGTTCAGATCCTGGCTCCAACACTTACTGAGGGGACAATCTACCCGTTCTCTCGTTCATGAAGGGCACAGGGTAGTACAGGTTAATGAGACCATGCATAGCACAGTTACCGCTATGCAGGTGGGCACTGGCCCGGAAAGACCGGGATTACCATCCCGGCTCATGACAGGGAGGTGGACAGTTGAGCCGAGGTGGGGGCGAGGAGACTCCGAGGGGAGCTGGTAGCCCTGTGCCCCTCTCCCCCTCCTTCTCTCTCTGTATATTTAGCCCCTGCAGCTGCTTCTCTGGGAGCGCCTCATCTCACATGGTGATTAATTTCACCAACGGGAAATTGACACATCCTCCTGAATTCAGCTGCTGCAAACATGAACTCTCCAGGGACACGGGAGCTTTCTCCAAGATCCAAATTGTCCTTATTGCAGTTTGTTCTTGGCCTGAGTCCAGTCCAAACAAACCAGGCTGCTCCTGCACCCCCCAGAGGGGCCTTCACTAGCCCAAGGTTGGGAATATTTTACACGAATCTGAACTGGTGTTGTGCGGGGGAGGGGTGCAAAAATACACTTTGCTTCCGGCTACTGCCTTCCTGGAAAGTTGTGGGTGACTAAGCCAATGGCCAGCTGGATTCCCAGGGCCCCCTCCTCCGTAGGCGGTGCTCCCAGGCATGCCTGGGTCTCCCAGCCAGATGGACCTGGGCTGTAGCAGCATCCAAGTGGAATCCTCTCAACCCTTCCAGCTCCCCCACCCTTGCCAACGACCAAGTTCAGTGCCCAAGGGCTATGCAGTAACCATGTGCAAATATACCTACAACTTTCCCTGCAGGTACAGCTGAACCCAGCTCCCGCTTCCACACCTAGCCTAGGCTCTAACCACTCACTATACAGCTTACTCCCCACGTCTCTCCCCCCACCCCCACACACACACTCGCATTTGGGCACAACCGCCATGTGAACTTTAAGTACTGCTTCAAAAATCTGTTTTGAGATCAGCCACTGAGAATCGCTAAGAGTCACTGATTTTTGGAAAAGGTCTCATTGTTCTGCGAGTTTCAGATTTTGGGGCTCACAACCTTAGCCAGGTCTGGGCAGAAGGGGGATGGCTATCTCATGGGCACGGAGACCAGCGGGGGAAGCCAAGCCCCCTGCGGCCTCCACCGAAGCACGCCAAGAGGCCTCGTGTGCAGATGGGGGCTTCCACTGAGGAATCTGTTCGTGCGGCTTCTGGAAGCAGGAGCTGCTCCATTATTTTCTGCCGGAATCTGCATTTCCACACTCTGGCAAGTATTAAAATAAGGCACATCTGTGCAAGTAGTCCTTATGAAGGAAGCTCAGATGACAGGAACCCAAGCAGAGTGGGTCTCCGCCCCCAACCATTGACCCCTTATCCCCCTTACTTCATGGGAAACAAAGGTCCAGAGGTGGGGAGCCCAGGAGAGGCCGGCCCCCTGACCCCCCGCCCCCCCGCCCCTGCACCTCCACTCCCTATACCTGTAACTCACAGCATCAGTCACCTCAGATCATCCCCGTGTCCCAGGGGCTGCGGGAGCAGCAGTGAGGACGGTGTGGGGTTTGGCAGGACAGGAAGGATCAGGGCCCAGCTGCACCACTCACAAGCTAAGGGCCTCGGACAAGTCACACGGGGCCAGAGTGGGGCCTGGTAAACCTCCTTAGGGACTTGGGCTCGGAGCTGAGGGTACAACTGTTTCAGGGGGAGTGGCATCCAGGGTCTGGTGGTGCCTTCTCGCAACACCTCAGGGTAGAAAAGGGATTCAGGTGTGGGTGGCAGGACTCAAGACGCCTGACAGGAAAGGAACTAAAAGCGAGGATCCCATGGACAGGGAAAGAGGCAGAGGGACTGGAGGTTAGGACCTCCAAGAGGTCAGAGGAGGGGACGAGGGAGCGAGCAAGCTGACGGACAGGAAGCGATAGTTCAAGAACAAAGTGTCAGAGTAACTGCAGAAGACAAGTAAACAAGTAAACAAGTGTCGCCCAGACACTGAAGCCCCAAGAGTGATGGCCAGAACGGGCACAGAGGGAGACGGAGTCAGGATTCAGAACGCTCCCCACCCAGGCCCAGCGGATGCCCAGGCGGTGGCACAGAGGTGGGTGGGGGGCAGCGAGGCCACAGCGGAGCAGCAAGCGTCCTGGCAGAGCAGGGCCCCTCAGGGCTGCCGGGGCTTCTTCTGCAAAGGGGGCTGAGCCCTACCTTGTGCATTGCTCAGGGAAACCATGACGCTCAGGGCAAAGGCGAAGGCTGAACATGAGGGTCAGTGGCAAGATTGTAGCAAAGCACCAGGCAGTGTTGTGGACAGGGGAATGGAAAGATCACCGTCATCTGGGGGACGCTGCAGTGACAAGTCCCCGCTCCGGGCCTCACCTTTGGATCTTTCCCTGGGAACGCACCAGCTCCGGGGACAGCTCTAGGATGTGACCATGTACTGCCCAGCGTAAGCCAGATACAGGCACCAGTGCCCTGGCCACGCCGCATGGCATCGTTCATCCCTGGACACCTAAGTGACCTGGACAGAGAGCCTGTGAGGTATCTGAGGGCCGGGCCACTGCCGAGACCCTGGCCTGTCCCTCTGTGGAGTTGAGGGCCTGGGCTCTGGGGCTCTACACGCAATAACCGTATCACCAAGTTGAAACGAATCACTCACTGAGGATCTTCAAACCGCAGGCTGGGCTGAGCACTCGGCAAATCCATGGTGGACACGAAGCCCACCGCCGTGCACAGACACGAGGCCGCAGCTCATGGGGGGGGGCACACCCAGCGCCCGGAAGCTTGAGGCCCGTGAAAAGCCTCATTACTGAGCATCTAAACGCTGTTTGATAACAGCCCTTCAACCAGCTTTAGGATAGAAAACATAAAGGGAAAAGTAGATTTCCTTCAGCCAGACGGTCCTTTGGTTTCCCCCTCAATAAATAGAAACCCCACTTGTAACAAAGACACAGCGTGAGCTCGGTGGGAACCACAGGCTTTATTGGCTGCAAGTTCTCCTCACGAGCCTGGTCGGCCGGGACTGGATGTTCCTGGGTGGGCACCCCCGGGCCTAAGCTAGGAAAAGGGAGAGAGAAAAGGAGAATTTTAGGTCCAGTGGAGGGTTTCTGAAGTTAAGATCCCTGACAGAGTTAAAGGCAAAATTGTTATTGTGAAACTACTTTCAAAGACATGCTGTTTGATCAGTAAATACTTATAGAACCAAATGGCAGTGAGATCATACTGCATTCATTCATTCATTCATTCATTCACTCAAGAAACGTTTATCAAACACCGACTACGTGCCAGGCACTGTTTGTGGTATTCGTCCCTCGTAAAAACAGCACACAAACTTAATGATTAGAACAACCGCTGAAACCATGCCACGCTAAAACGAAACTTTTTATGTGCCACTGGCAGAAAAATAGAATCGTGGAGGATGTGTGTCCCAGTTCCACCTTCATTTTTCCAAAGTAATTTCCTGCCCTGCACCCACTCCCCATGCCCCAAATGGGCTTTCAGTAACAGAACTCCAAGGGGCATTACCTCCAGGTTTCCTCGGGCCTTCCGGAGGATTTTGTGGGTTACGACCACTGAGGAGAAAGAAAGAACAGGGATCGTTAGACACAGATGCCCAGGAAGACAGCGTAAAAGCCAGCTGCAGGGAGGAGGCTCCTGAACCCCAAACGGGTCAGACAGACACGTGGACAGGCCGAGGCATCCAGACCCAGAGAGGGGTGTGGGAGGCTCCATCTGCCCCATCACACGGCCCAAGACCAAAGAATCCGTGGGGTACCAGAGACACCCCTTCACGTTCATGCTAGGCCACAACCTCACAGCGATACCGGCCCATGTTTTAGGTAACAAAACCAAGGCTCCAGAAGGCTGGCGGGCGCCCAGGTACCCCAAAGCCTCACCTCTATGGGTCTGGGGGCCAATGGTGCAGGGCAGGGGAGAGCCCTGTGACTGACTAGCCCCCACACGCTGTGGTTTCTCTGGGAAGGGGGTGTGCCCGACTCCAAGCAAACCCGTGTGCCAAGGCTCAAGGCAAGGGTCACGGGCAGTTCTGCAAAGCCAATTTTTACCCTTAGGGCGGGCTTCCCATCAGCCGAGGGAAAGCATGAGCTCTGGGCATTTTTCCTCCTTGGACTCCCTTCAGCAGGTACAGGAACCCGACGAGGTTCCCCGGGTAGGACGATTTCAGAGGTCCCGCCGACCGGACGCTCTCAGCTGCGTGCAGGCAGATCGTCAGTGTGTCAGAACCCCAGGGAGGAAGCGGGGTGCAGCCAAATGTACAGGAAGGCCGCTTCCTCCCTCAATCCTTTTCTTGTCCAGCACAAACACCGGCAGCAAGGGGAATGCCGCCACGGAAGAGACTTCTGCCTTGATTGGGGTCCTTTCTAAACAGGCCTTGGCAAGGGTCACAGATTCCATTTACTCCCCGGAGGAGACAGAACCAAGGCTTCCGGAATTAGGGCTTTGGCCAATGGTGCCCAAGGATGAAACAGACTCCCCATCAACACACATACAGCCCAACTCCCCAGCGTCTCCTTCAGAACAGGAGCCACGTGGTGGCCTGGGGAAAATATTTATTTCTTGCCTTACAAAAAAATTTCCATCTGGGGGTAACAAAGTCTGTTTGCAATCTGTGTCGCTGGGGGGGTGGGGGTGGCGGAGGGAGATAACCGGCGTGGGCTTCGTTTTTAACCGGCCGACGTCGATTTCAGAGGTGCCCACTGTCTCTCTGTGCCCTCCCCCACCCCCAGGCTGCAGACCCCTCGACCTGGGTCCGGGCTCTGCTTTAGGAGGGTCCCAAATCCCTGGAAAGCAAGCGCAAATCTGTGTGCATCTGGATGTGTGCGTTTTTCTGCAGCGAGAACTCACAGCTCTCCTGAGACCGGCCAAGGGGCCTGTGACCCAGAAAAGATTCAGCCTCCCAGGTGTGGAGGTTAAACATCACACCGGAAGGGTACCGGAGTCCCAAAGCGCCACGCTCCCAGCGAGGAGCCAGGGCTCACCCGCCCCCAGCTGCAGGGGCCTCACGTCTGAACCGTACCGCTCACCTTGCAGAGCCCAAAATCCCTGCTGCAAGCAGCAGCCTGGGAAGACAGCGCAGTGACGAGCTCGTCCAAGCCCAGGCTTGCCCGGGGCTGAGGTGCGACTCGAACCCACGACTCTCCCACTCAGTACGGGGCTCTTGCCGCCTCACTGTTGGCAGGAAGACACCGACCCGGGGGTCTAGCTTGCGAACTGTGACCTCAGCGAATACCCCCGACCCTGCGCAGCAGGCTCTCCTGCGTCAGAGGCCGTGAGGGAAGTGACACTTGTCCCTCCTCTCCCCTGCACGCTCCGGGACACGTGTCCGGCTTCGCTCCGGCACTGACCAGCCCCCGGGGGCCTGGTTCTCCCCAGTCACCAGGTGAGGGCAGGCAGGGGAGGGGACACTACGCCGACTTCCGCTTGGCCCCTCAGAGCCAGAAGCAGCCCCGTGAGGCTGGCAGGGTTGGGGAAACGTCCAAGGACCCGACTCACTGGGATGAGGCACACAGCCCGGCCGGAGTCGGCCGCCCGCTGTGCGACCTTGGGCAACCCCTCACCCAGCTCTGAGCCGATCCCCGCTCGGGGCCAGGCCCTGGAGACACGGAGGTGGGTGACGCCATTTCAGCAGGGGAGGCGGTGTGAGACATTTGTGATTTTTTTGTATGAATGGTCTGCCACCTGCAAACCCGGAATTCAGTCCGAGCCAACAGGAAAAGAAGAGGCAGAGAACTAGGGTCTGCTGAGCATCTGCTTTGTTCCCAGAGTACGATAAAGTTCAGGTATTATTACCATCCCACTTTACAGGTAGGAAAACTGAGGTGCTTTTTACAAAGTCGTGATTAGAACCCAAGCCTGTCTGGTCAATCTGAGTCCTTTGGAATTACCGTCTCCCGTTAGAAATGAGGAATCAGACGCTCGGGGAGCCATTTAGTCCAGGCGACACAGGACGGCACTCATTAATGGCTGCATGTCACTGAGGCAGGACCCCGAGGCTGGGTTCTGTCCTCTGGATCTACCACAGGAACTTACACCTTTGAACCTACTGCCCGCTTCCAAAACTTCCTCAGCAGCAAGTGCCCCGTGACCCTTCGGGGCTGCCCAGGAGGTGCTAACGCAGAGTCCTAACTGTCCCGGACTTGTCCCGTTCTCCTGCTGCCCTGGGGTCGGACCCAAATGCTCCACAGCCGCCTCACACGTGGCCACGACTGGCACTGTCCCCCACAGGCCCCGCCAGGGCTCCTTTTCTCTGAGTGACACGAACGTCTTCACTATCTGCCCACCATCCCCTCCCCTCCACAGCCCCGCCCCAGCCCTGCTGTCATGGGCGGGGGGACTGCCACAGCCCCCACAGAGGTCTCTGCCTCCTGGCCCCTCCGCGCTCGGCCACAAGGACCTTCTAAGACATGATGAACACCAACAGCCCCTGGAGTCCACCCACAGGCCCCTTGGGACCTGATCCCTATTTATCTCTTTCACGCGGTCTCTCAGGGCAAATCCCCTCGCACCTCCTGTGTTCCCGAATACTTAGTTCCCACCCTCGAGGCCACCTGCCACAACCCTGTCCCTAGCCCTTCCGTAACTCCTACTCAAGACCCAGTGAGTCCAGAGCCTCGAAGCACCGAGGCTGCGGGGGAGGCACCCAGCGCCTTGCCCGGCAGCTAACTTCCGTGTCCCCCCTCATCAGGCCAGAGCCCTGTGCTGGCAGGAACGGTGCCGTCCCCAGAGCCCGGCACGGGGGCACGAGCAGGACGTTAGCGCTTGCTCCTCGACCGCGTCTCTTTCTTCCGCAGTTCGAACTCTGCCAGTCTCACGGAGTCCGTGTTCAGAAGGTCCCCGGGGGGTGGCTAAGGAGGACTCCCACCCAAGCACAATCTAGGTTCTGTGCTTCTCAGAAATGCCACAGAAACGTTGGCCTTCGGTGAGCGAGCAGCACGGGGCAGACTGACACCTCCGGAGGGAAGGTCCGCAGTGGGCGGCCCTCCCACAACAGGGAGGGTGACGGGCAGACCGCCAGGCCGGCCAGGGCTGTGACAGACACGAGGGGCGCCCCAGGGCTGCGGGTTCCCACGATCTCTGAAGCTCCTGGATCGGACGAGGACTGACGTTACAAATGTCATTTAGCCTCTCTGAGCCTGAGTTTGTGGATCTGCCTTGGGAAGCAGGCCTCACAGCCATCCCCTCCCCTGGATCCGCGTGGCGCGGCCGAGGCCCTCCTCCTCGCCTGCCCGGACCAGGGGAGCCGCGGTGACAGGTCCCTGCCCTACCCTGCGTGCCAGCCACCCTGGGCCTGCCCTCTAAGGCCTTCACGCCGCAGTCCTGGTCCCAGCGGCCCCTCCAGCCTTGACCTGCCCCTCGCAGTCCTGCTCCAGCCACGTGAGCTGCTGTAGGTTTCTCACGTATGCTTCTTGCCCCTCTGCACCGCTCCATCTGACCAACACCTGCTCCTTCTGGCAGACTCAGCTCAGGTGTCACTTTGTCCAAGAAGCCCACCTTCCAGGACAGAAGGACGCCCTCCCCCACTCCCCTCTCAGGGTTCCCTAACACCCTACCCCACACACCTGTGTCCCCACCGAGATGACTGTCCCTGGCACCACGTGGCCTCGCCACTGAGGTCTGTTAAGTGCATTTATTTGTCTGTGCGGGTCAAAAAGGACGAAGTATGAAAGGAAACCCATAAATAGGAGGCATGAGGACACATGATCTGGGCTCCAAAGTAGGTGTCCGGGACTGGGGCTTTTTGTCCTCGGAGGCACAAAGTGGCTGGACGTGGCGGCCCGCCCCCCACCGCTCACTTACACTGGTCAAAGATGACTTTTTCCTGGCGCTTGCTCAGCTGCAAAAGCTTCACAGAGTTCTGCAACTTTTTTTCTTGTTCAAACAGCTTTTTGTGTAGTCTGGTGATCTCTGCCTTCATTTCTCCAGCCTCAGGAGAAAAGGAATTAGAAAAATGAACGAAGAGTACAAAACAGTGTATCACACAGGAGAGAATTAAAAGACACACAAAAAGAGGCGCGACCTTCCTGACGATGCTAGTTGAGGGAAAACTAGAAGCCATGTTCTGCTGGTCAGATGGGCCAAGTCCAGGGACAGCCGGGGTGTGGGGCAGGCACTCTTGTGGCCACAGGCGTGGCCTGGGGGGGAATGCCCTGGCAAGATTTACCAAACCGTAAGACGCACTCGACCTGCTGACCCAGCCAATTCTATACTTGGGCATCTGCCCCAGTAAGTAACCACACAAGCACAGGAAGACGCCTACGTCCCAGGAGGTTCATCTCCGCGCTCTTCATAGCAGGAACCAGTGAACAACCTGCTTTGTTCCAACAGGGGTCTGGATGAGTAAATCGCAGGTCTTACAGACAATGGCATAACCGGGCGGCTGCTAAAAACGATGTTGCGGAACTCTATTTAGTGACGTCGAAAGATGATCACAATTAGTGACAAAAAGAGCCCAGAACAGCTATTGTATGTCAGGCATTCCTGTTTCAGAAAACCGCATACATCTATCTATATCCGTACACGCGTATACAGAGATGTCTAAAAAACTGATGACGAAGAGACAATGTCAAAATGATTAACGGTGATTTAGCTCTGAGGGATGTGATTTAGAAGTTTTATTTTTCATTTTTTAAAATGTATCAGAATTGTGTGAGGTTCTGTTATGGTTTTTTACAAAAACTATAAAGCAAATTTTTTGATGGTACAAAAAAGAGAACGTAAAAGCATTATGAAGAGAGTTTAATCCTTTGGACAGCTTCCATCTTTTAGAGGGGTGGGGAGAGTGCATGGGTAGCCAGAGTCCCCAGCTCTCCCGTGGAATGTGGACACCCCGGGGGCTCTCTCCACCGTCTCCAGGGAACTAGCTCACAGAGGTGAGGACCCTCCTCTCTCATAAGCCCCCCCCACCACAGGCTACCCTCTGCTTCCGTGAAACACCTCTGCTCCCGAGAGGGCAGATGTTGGGCGGTCAGCTTACAAGGAACCACTTTACTTTGTTCCCAAACTTGTCTATAAGGCAATTGTACTTGCAATCGGTTACAGGATTTAATTAAGTATTAGTAAACCCATGAAATACATGGATGAGAACAGAGAACTATGAAAACATATGCCTCAGAAAAGACGTGATAAAGGCAAGTCACTAAAAACCACGTTTCTGGCAAATTAGGTGTGTGGGGGGTGGGGGGGATCAACTCTGGAAGACGTGGGAGGATCGGAGTCTAGAAGAATTCTATATTCGAGTTGCCTTACCAGTGTCTGCGTTTTTTTCTTCATCTTAAAAAACAGAAACTGGAAGTGACAGACATACATTATGGATGTAGTTTATGAAAGAAGGAAGATGTGAAACCCTAATCAGCAGACCCGTATTCAAAGAAAAGGCCCCGGCCCTACATCAAAAGAATGCCAAATGAATGTACGTTGAACTGTTTTCAGTTAAATTACAGTGTTTAAGGTATGTATCATCTCTTGATTCCCTGCTTTAACCTACTTTCAAGATTCACCAATTGTGTCAGCTACAAGACTGTCAACGGTTCTTCCACAACAGACCTGAACTTAAACCTTCGGTTTTCTCTGATTCTCTTCCTCATGCTAAGAGCCCACAAAGATTTGTGTTCAGGTCATGGCTTCCTAGACCACACAACCTGGATAACCCCTGACCCATCCATCTAGAGTGAGACGCAAAGGAGATACACCTGCAGACAATGATTTATTTCCTCACCCCTGCCTGGCTAACCTCTAGTCCTCTTCTGAAAGTCACCTTGGGCAACACCTCCTCCAGGAAGCTTTCCTTGAGACTCCTCCCCACCCGGAGTCTAGGTTGGTTAGCGCTCCTTCGGGCACCCACTATGCGCAGCGCTCCCTCTATCACTGCCCATTTCATGTGGAACCGTAACTGGTCATCTACTTGTTTGCTGCTTCACCCAAGACCCCATTCTTCCCTCTGACCACCAGCGCCTGGCACACAGTAGGTGCTGCGAGACCCTTTGCCAACTGGTGGGTTAATTTTCACCTGCTCTCCCCAAACGCCTTATTTTTTTCAGAGAGAGAGAGCAAGCAGGGGAGAGGGGCAGAGGGGGGAGAGAGAGAATCCTAAGCAGGCTCCACCACGCTCAGTGCAGAGCCGACAGGGCTCAATCCCATGACCCTGGGGTCGTGACCCTGAGCCGAAATCAGGGGTCGGATGCTCAACCGACTGAGCCACCCTGGCGCCCTGCACCTTATACATATTCTATCCAGCCTTTAAAACGAGCAATTTTAATTGTGTCTGTCTGCTGCTCCACTGAACTAAAATCTTCATTTTTACAGGATGAATTCACCACGGTAAACACACAACAGGGCTCGACCCGGCTTGGTCACTTCCAGCTGTGATGATGACCAAGCAAGAAGTTTCAGTTCCTCCTTCTCGAAGGTGGCAATAATAATACCTAGCTCTGGAGGCTCCCGGAAGGGATGGAAGGAGGTGCTGAGTGCATAGCAGGGTGCCCGACACCTGGGAGAGTTCAAAAGACCAACTCTTCCTCAGGGCCACAGAGCCCAGCTCAGGGCTGGGCCCCACGCCCCTCCCAGCACGAGTAGGCGGCCTGACTCCTGGAGCTGGCTTTGGTAGTGGTTGGTTTTTTTCTTTTTTGTAATGAAAAATCTTAAACATTTACAAACGTCCTGGAACGGGATAATGAACCGCCAGGCACCCACCCAGCTTCGGCCATTATCAACTCACGGCCAAACCCCTTACGTCTCCGTCCCTGCCCATCTGCACCCTACAACTATTTTTAAATTCAATCCCAGGAGCTAATTACATTTCACAGCCATACAGTTGTTTGGTATATAGGTCTAGAAAAAAAAAAAATCTATAAAAAGAAAAACACAACATCATCACTACATCTCAAATAATGACAGAAATTGCTTAATATCACCACATGTCAGGAGACACATTTCCCTGAGTGCATCGTAATTTTTTTGAACAACTGGTCTGATTCCCCAGCATCCAAATAAACTCCATGTTTAGCACGTGACTGTACGTCTCTTAAGTTCCTTTTAATCCAGTGGTTCCCAGGGCTACCAAGACGACCTGTAAAAGCAGACCTTCTGAGTCAGCAGGTTTGGGGTGAGGCCCCAAATTTCCCTTTCCAACAAGTTTTCAGACGACACTGATGCTGCGTCCAGGGGGCCATATTTTGGGAACCGCCGTAAATCTGTTTTACTCCCTCTTTCCCCTCTTCTTCCCTACGATGAAAAGATGTCCGAGGCTCATAGTGTATGCTTCCGGCCCCAGACCTAGAATCAAGCCATTTCTCCAGGGAGTCCTCGTTCCCGTGAGTGGGGAAAGGTACTTAGAAACCATAATTCGGCGCTTGAGGTACTCACTGGTACTGGATTGGACATTTTTAAAACCTAAGCGTAAATGTTTTTAATCGGAAACCCATGAGTTCATGCTGATATTTTCAAATCAAGGATGGCAGGATTTTTATTTCTTTGATTTTTTTAAATTTATCTCTCTTCCCTGACAGTAAAAATCTTAATAAATTAGCTATTTGTTTGGTCCTCTAATAGAAATATGACAGTTTTAACTATCAGCACCAATATCGTTATTAACAATATCACTAGAAACAATCAAAAATGGTTTTTGCAGGTCCTTTTTAACCTCCGAGTAGTTCCATTAGGGATGCAGTCAAATTACCGTGTTCTAGGCTTGAAATGTTTCCTCTTTGCATGGGTAACGCCTTCAACGATGTGTACGGGAAGGTCTGTTTCATTTTGCTATGAATTTTAAGAGACTGCTTTTATTCTCATTTTGATTTATTTTTAATTAAAACATTTACATAGTTTCAATGTCAAACCTGGCGAAACAAGGTCCATTCGGGAGAGAAATCTATGTTCTACGCCCGTCCTTCCAACCTCTTCCTTCCCACCTCCCCAGGTAGCCTGTTTTCTTGTGATCGTTTATTGTTCCAGCTAATCAAAAATTTTCTAAACAAGTAGGTGTATATGTTCGTATCTCTCCTCACAACTTTCTTAGATAAACAGATGAGTAGGATACACACTTTCCAGACTAGCCCTCGGGATGGCAGGGGGGTGGTATAGTACATGCAAAAGGCAAATTAATGACAGAGAAAACCTTAGGTCATAAAAAAAAAAACCATCGGGGTTGCTGGCGACAACTTGGAAATCTGCTTTACACACATTTCACACTAAGAAAAAGGCACCGTATGAAACACAGGCAGGGGCAGAAAAGTGGCTCGAGGCAATTTAACACCACACAGGGGGTCTGTTTCCACGAGCCATCGTATTGGAGTGTCTCTAAGGTCCTTTTTCTGGCTCTCCAATTCTATGATGCTAAAGTGAGCATAATCAATTATACGACAAACGTCTGGAAAGAAGGGTGAGTCATCACAAGCACTGGCCAGTCGCCGGACTAGCTGGCCGGTGGGAGAGATCAACGTGTCTATAATTTATATTTATACACACACATGAAATAAGAAGTGCGTTCCGTCTACTTAACAGACATTACTGTGTACTGAGGACAAAAACACTGCGCTGGGTTCCGTTCGGACACACTGTGCTTTATAAATCATACGGGCAAGTGCTAGGCTGCTAATATGAGAGAAAAACTATTCATTCAAACATATGAAAACAGCCATGGCCCCTCCTGGAAAACAGAGGAAACAGACATTAACTCTAACAACAAATATATAGTTTAACCAGGGCTGTGATGAAACAGAAGAGGATGCTACAACTGAGCAATCGGGGAGCGCTCTCTGACCTTGAGGTAACATTTTAAGCTGAGACCTGAGAGGTGAGAAGAAGCCAGCCAGCGAGTGGGAGCCGGTGGGCCGGGGTGGGGGGAGGCGGGCAGTCAGAGCATCTGTGCTATCAGGCCTACGACGGGAAGAGCTTGGTGGGTGAGCAGAAAACCAAGGCCAACGTGGGTCTGGAGCCCAGCGGGCCCTCTCCCTCTCCGTGGCCCCCGCCCCCGCTAGAAGTGGGCAAAACACGATTTCCCTGCGAAATGACCAGTTACCTACTCCGCCAAGCTTCGTGCACCCACACTTCCTCCCCAGGATCCTGAGAGGGAAGCCTCAGGAGGGGCTCATGAGACCCTTCGGAGCAGAGAGCTGCTTCGCCGCTGCTCCCCTGCCATGACGGGGGGGCGGGACCCGAGCACCGTCAGAACGGGTGTAATGAGGGCAAGTACCGGCGTGGAACTCAAACTCCCCTCTGCCTGCCTGCTGGCCTCTGGCACAAAGTCACGGGTCAGGTAACTGAAGGGGAGCAAATCTGTCAGACCGCCAAGCACAGTTCTGACTCTGCGTCATCTGCGGGCCCTTCCTCCCAGGGACGCTTCTCTCATGACCAGAGTGGCTGTTCGACCTGCTTCCCGCGGACTAAACCCCAGGGAGCGTCTGCTCTGCCGGACGCCCGGTCTGTGCCGTGAAAGATGGGGGTGAGGGCGGTGGTGGGAGCAACGGTTCTTAACTCGGTCACGTTCGAGTTACTGCAAAGCCAAGCTTTCAAGGGAAGTTTCGGTGGTTTCACGATAAATGATTTTCATCGGTTAAAAAAAACAAACAAACCAAAAACCTTTCTTAGTAGTAGAAGAGACTAGAGCAAGACCCACTAAAATATGATGCCAGAAGCATCAGACGGTCCGGAGAAAGGCACCTAAAATGAAAAGAGATTTAGAGTGGAAGGGAATAAGCTAGTCTATGAGGACAAACTAGGACTTAAAACCTGTACAATAAAAGCGTATCTTTCGGATTCTGATACTTGTGCCTTCAAAACCAGCTCTGTACCCTTGGTCGGGCCTCTCTCCTGCAGTCTCAGCTTCCTGTACAAGATGCAGACAGGATTTCCCTCAACAAAGACGTACCAGGAGTGGGCCCGCGGTCAGTCAGGAGCGCAGGCCGGCCCAGCAGAGGCGCTGGGGGAGCAGGTAAGAACACGCCTGAAGCAGCCGGCACGGCACCTGGCGTGTCACTCTTGACAAACAAGGCACCTTCCCCTCCCTCTGACTGTTCCCCAAACTGAGAGCACATCTGCCGCGAGCAAGGCTGTGTCCCCTCCTACCTGTTCACCCTGAAGCGAGCACTGGTCATTTGTGGGGAGCGAGGCCCTCCAGAAGAGCGTCAGTAACCTCGCGGCCTCTTCGAGGATCAGCTTGGCTGTGCCCACGCTGGTGACAAACCCGCCCGGGGGCGCCGAGTGTGGACCCTGCGTGAGGGGGAGGGGCGGGGGATGAGAAGGGTGTTACAGGCAGTCTTGAAAAGGGTTATGGACAAGCCGGCTTTAACGGGCAGCGTAAATCTCCAGGCCACGGGGTTTGTATCCACACGCTGAGCGAGGGCCTGGGGCCAGACGACACCAATTTATTGTTCTTCAAGACTGGTGAATTATAGATTATGAGAGAATTTCGGTGGTGATTTCAGCCCAATCAATAACCACGACTAATAACCACCTGCGTTAACCGTATTTACTAGGCCACGAAGAGGGTCCGCGGGAGGGCGGTTCGCGTGGCTCGGCACCATGGAGCCTCTCCAGAAGGCACAGGGTGCCGAGGGCAAGTGACGGGACGGGAACGTTCCCGTCTCCAGCAGCCCCTGCGACACGGCCGTGTGCACACTGCCAATACCCAGTCGGGGCCGGCAAAGTCTCCCTCACCCTCTGCTGGCAGGGGCAAAGCCTACCTGGTGGGTGTCAAGGGCACGAGAAAGCAAAGAACACGAGTCAGAGAAGGGAAAAGACAATAAAGTTCAAGAAGAAAAGAAGTTAAAAGAGCACACTGTGTTCACAAGTAATAAAATCAGTACAAGATAAAACGGCCTACTGTTTTTAGCTACCGAGTTGGCAAAACAAAACAAAACAAAACAAAACAACAACCCACTTACAAATCAAATCACGCAACAAAGACGCAAGTGTAGTGGGTAGGATACTCTCACTTGTAAACGGGGATACGAGTGATACTTCTGGAAAGTAATGTATCAACGGTGATCAGCAAGGGCTCTAAAGGGTTCACAACCCCTAAAGGGTTTAAAAGGATGTGCACCACACCTTAACCAGGTGAAAGAGTACATAAACGGTGGTACATCCATGTGTTGGCTTCTTTGTCAGCCAAGAAGAGTCAAGTTCTAGAAAAATATTGAATGGGACAGGAAAATTGTTAGTATGTTAGCTGAGAGGCAAACCATGAAATTCATAGAAGTAGGAGTCAGTTTTTTTTTTTTTTTTTTAACATTTATTTATTTTTGAGACAGAGACAGAGCATGAATGGGGAAGGGTCAGAGAGAGAGGGAGACACAGAATCTGAAACAGGCTGCAGGTTCTGAGCGATCAGCACAGAGCCCGACGCCCGACGCGGGGCTTAAACTCACGGACCGTGAGATCATGACCTGAGCCGAAGTTGGACGCTTAACCGACCAAGCCACCCAGGCGCCCCAGTAGGAGTCAGTTTTACTGAACTTCATGAATGAGCTGAAAGCATGTGTGTGTGTGTGTGTGTGTGTGTGTGTGTGTACCAAAATTTTTAGCGGAGTGCTATGTGACGTTTTTACACTTTTCTACAGTTTCTAACCTTTTGTACACCAAAGATGATCAGAAAAGAACAATAATCTTACTAGTATTTACTACGTTCAACACCCATTCACCATGTGCCTGCACACTGCACACCAGGCCCTGTGCTAGGTAGTAAATACACGATAATGAGCAAAAGAAATACTATCCCTGCTCTCCTGAAGCTTATTACCTAGTGAAATATAAAATACGGAATTGACTCCTACAATATAATAAAACAAAACAAAACGGCAAATCAGGTATCGGGAAGCACGGGGCCTCAGTAAGGACCTGAGAACAGGGACCAGAAGATGTGACCCGTGGAAGCTTGGCAGTTGGGGGTCCGGCCGGGGAGGAAAAGAGAATCTGACCCCCGAGCCTTGGAGGAAGTGAATGGATAACTTTATGCCAAGCACCTGGCACGAGGTTCTTCAACAAGAGGTAACTTTACAGTGAGGAGGGTTCCGGGAGGACGAGGCAGGAAGGAGTGACCCCAGCGAAGAGACCTCACTAACACAGGTGACAAGCCACAACAAGTGCCCCCCACAGGACAGCCACCCGGACTGGACCTGAGCTCTGAGCTTTGGCGGGCTACGTTTCCCGGACCCTCTTCCCAGGGCCTTCCCGAGAAGCTGTGCACCCTCGCCGTCTTAGGGCCCTCAGGCGGCCCCTGGGCGTGTTGCTCTCAGTGAGTACCTCCTGGCCTCCAGCCGTCCGTCAGCTCACCTTTGTCTCCAGCTCCAGACCTGCAGGGTGGGGAGCCTCTTGGATCTGAAGGGCCATCTCGGCAAGGAGCTTCTGGCCCTGGCCAATCTGCTGGCACAGGGCCTCGAAGTCCCCAGTCAGGCCCAGGACGTGGCAGCCGCTGTCGTCGGCCCACAGGTGGTGGCCAGGGACCAGGTGGGACGCGCACGGCGTGCTGGTGACCGAAGTGCCACTGCTGCAGGAGAGGGAGTCCGTGTCATTTCCGGACAGCGGCGGAGTCTCCGAAGCTACAACATGAGAGGGAAGATGTGAGATCTATTTGGGCCGGTATCCTGTGTTCACCAACGCTGAAGCCAGGCGGGAGGACGAAGAGAGGCCTTCAGACCCCAAGGCCACGAGGCACCGTGCCAAGGGGAGGCCTGGCTCTGGGGCCTCTGTCTGCGGATTACCCCACGCTGGGCTTATTCGTCTCACGGGACAAGCTCGATTCAATTCAGCCAACACTTCTCAGGCACCCAGTCTGCAGAGACCCCTGATCTGCACAGATGAATCGGGCCAGTGTCTGCACTACAGGAGCCCGTGGTCTAATCAGACACCATGCGGGAGGTGTAACAGCATGATGACAGAGAGCCAGAGCGCAGAGGGGAAAATAATCAATTCTCTGTGTGGGAAGGGAGATCAGGAAAGGCTTCCTAGGAGAAGCAACAAGTGAGCGGGCTTCCACACGAAGCAAGATTACACTAAACAGAGGTAAAGCCTGTGGTCTTTACCTTTGGATCAGTAAAAGTCTAGACGAATAGCTCTGACTGGGGGCCTCCAGAAAGGCATGTCACAGACCAGTCTGCACTCAGGATGAGTCTCAGGGAGGGAATGGGGCTTGCACTGGCAGAGAATGGGACAAGGGTAGTCTGGAAAAGGAGGAGCCACACCGCACCGTCCCGGGGAGAGGAAAGTGCAGGCCCGTCTGCAGGACGGTGACCCCTCTGTCGGCAGCACGGATGCACAAGGACAGGGCTGGATGGGCCCAGTGAGGCTGGACGCTGGAGGGCCTTACAAGCTACACCAAGGCGGTGACACTTTTTCATCTAAGGCAACAAGGACCCAATGACGTTGCTAAGGTGGATAACAGCTAGGAACAGATGAACTGGCTTAGAGGAGGAGATCACCAGCTAGACGTGCTGAGAAGGTGAAACCCCAAATCCTGGCAAGCACCCTCTTGATTAGACCAGGGACCCCCTTTCGTTCAACTTAAAAAGTCCTCCTGCCAAACCCAATCGTGCCACAGTTACCCAGCCTTCAGCTCCGCACCTGACCGTGGTGGCGCCACCAGGCGGGAGTCAAACGGGTCGCAGGAATTATCTCCAGGCATGGGGCACTTGTCAGCATCTACAAAATGCAAAAGAAGAGAAGGAAAATACACTGTCATGGGCGTTTGAGAAAGAACTGAATGAGGAAACAGTAAAGTACCAGCCACACACGAGCATTCACTCCAATCTTCCTGGCATCCCCTCTGCAGGACACGGGGACACAGAGTGAGCACACCCAGTCTCCTCTCTGGAAGGACCCTCCTGTCCAACAAGCGAACAGGCAGCTTCCCTTCCAGGTGGTCAGGGTAAGGGAGGGAAGCACAGGGGCTGCGGGCCCTGGGGAGGGAGAGGGAGGCAGGGAGGCAGGCAGGCAGAGGGATGAACAGATGCAAAGGCACAGGGGACTGAGCCACAGGACGCCTTCGGGGAGGATCAAGCAAGGGGTAGGCGGAGCCCAGGGCGCAAGGGAGGGCCCTGGTGGCAGCACGGTCAGAACAAAGAGGGCGGTGGGGCCCCCTCGAGGGCGTTAGGCAGGGCAAGGTCAAGCTGAGGGCCGTGTTCTGGACTGGAGCAGTGAGTCTGGAGGCTGCGGGAGCCACCCAAGCAACAGAGAAGAGGCCCCAGAGTAGAGATTGGGAAGCGATGCGCTGGAAACAGCATAAGGGGGCAAAGTCAGTTAGATGGCGAGGTGGCCTGCCACTCTGTGAAATCTCGAGAGCACTTGTACACCTCAACCCCCAGTGGCACCATGGGCAGGATGGCACCGTCATTCAGACCTGGTGGAGGAGGGACGATCGAGGGGCAGGGACAGCAGGTGATCCAGCCAGAGCTACCCAGAGTGTGGAGGCACTGTGAGGACCATGCCTAGTGTCCAGGCCTTCGGACGCCCCACCAGCCCCTTCCCACCCAGCCGCCTCCAAGGGCGCACTTCATCTCCAGGGCCAAGGAGCTGGCCCCTCAGAGGGATTGCTTTCTGCCCAAAACAGCCATCTTCAGAGCAGAACTTTTGAACAAGCGCGCTTAAATACAATCCTGGAAAGTCTTTTGCAAAGGAAGAAAGGCCCGGCCGAAGGAAGAATTCCAATGCCCACTCGAGGACACAGGAGCACTTGCGGCACTGGGACAGCACGGTGGATTCTCAACACATTCTCCCAGGTCCTCTCGTGAGGCACACCTAGGCTGACCCCGGACCGGTTTCAGAAGCAGCAAATGCTGTTCAATGGCCGCCTCCCTTCAGCTGCCCCAACTGTCCCTCCTGGGCAGCCCTGGTCCTGGATCATTCTCCCTGCCCCAAAGTCCCCAGAGCACCCCCCTACCTCCTCAGTCCCATCTCCGCTAAGCCCGAAGTAGGGCCAGGAGGAGCCTCCGTTTAAAACACAGACACCCACTACTGATATACATCCCACGCAAAAGGAGGCAACGTGGCTCCTTTCCAAGTCTTTTGAGATTCCACTAGTAGGATTTTATCCTAAGAATGCTGTTTAACAGCAAAAAGCATATTAACATCGACGTTTATTAAAGCTCCAAATCAGAGACCACTTTAATAATCACCGCGGTAATGGTTTCGTGACTGGCGATAATCTGAAAACAGTAATTAGGAAGCCCGTGTGAAAGACTGGGAACCATTCATGATGCAACACTGGGCAAAAACAAAGAAAGGCCGTAGAATGGCACAAAACCCAGCGTGAACAATATAAATTCACACTGGCATGTGATTATCAAATGAAGAGAAATAACGCAAAGCAAAATATTATCATTCTGTAGAATCATGAAGGATTTTTCTTCACTTTTTTTTTTTTCATATCGTCACACCATTTTCTGGTTAAAACTTTAAATTCTTTATCAAGGAGAAATCAATAAATCGATCACGGTAAGTTCTAAAGCACACTGGGTGCTCTTTAAGAGACTTTAATTTCTTTTTTTTAATTAAGGGCAATAAACAGAATTCCCAATCCCAGCAAAGACCAAGTCCAAACTTTTATACAGTATTTTTGTATAAACTATATTGACATTCCTTGTCCCACTGGATGTGCATACCCACGCTGCGGGTATTCGGGTGATGACCCCGGACACCTGAGGCTCCGTCGGGTCAGGCGGTGCTCCAGGGACAGCACTGGACTCGGGAGCTAAAAGATGATTTCCAGCTGCAGCTCTGCCCCTATTTGCCATGTCACTTTGGGTGAGCCCAGTACCCTCTCTGGGTCTCAGGCTCTCCATCCATAGAGCAAAGAGGATGGCCTGGCCAACTGCCTTAAGTCTGACCACTTTCTGGCTTGTTCCTGGCTCTGTGCTGGGCAAGGGACAAAGGAATGATGGGGACCCGCTCCTGTCCTTTTTCTGCTACCCTACACAGCTTCTGCAGGGCTAGACAATAAACCCACAAGCAAATGGCAAAACAGAATCAGTTTTCAAACCTACCGGGATGCTTTCAGATCCTGAAAGACACTGAGAGCCAGTGTAATAAGTTTAGATTCTTTTTAAAAGGCAGTAAGAGGGACCAAAAAGGATTTTCAGTGGAGCGATATGGGCAGGGCTAAATGGATGGGGGAGGGGGGGACAAGACAGGAGGCGAAGAGAGCGCTGGCAGCCCAAACTCCACTTCCCTGAGAACCGAGGGCCCCGGACGGAGATCGGACCACCCTGCCAAAGGTGACGACTGCTCAGTGGCCAGGCCCCTGGCTCCTGGGGTCCGGCATGCCTGCAGTCAGCGGAGGGACACCTCCACGGGGCAAGGGCACCATTCAGAAGCTCACGTGTCCCAGTGACATGCACAGGGCCGCAATCTCAAGAGGTCAGGAGGTGCGGGGGCAGTACCGTGCTTGTCCAGCTGCAGGGGCCACTCGGGGACACACGGGGTCTGGAGAGCCCCGGTGAGGGCTCCTTCCTGAGCCTTCTTCCCCTCCTTCGCCAGCTGCCCCTCCAGCTTGCTCTGCAGCATGCTGTTGGTCTCGATGCTCCTTTCCAGCTGTCCCCGCAGAGCCTGGATCTCTGTTAGCAGACCGTGCAGGTCACTGAAAGGGTCCTGTCCCCTCCAGCCTTCTCCTGATAGCTCTGGAAACAAGCGCAAAGGGAAAACCTTGAACGTCGTCTGCCTCCAAAAGGTCAGCCATCAAAGGAGCGCAACAGGGTCTTAAACCCGCCATCGCCACCGCCCTCCCCTTCCTAAGAACTAGGTACAGTTTAAAATAACAACTTGACTTAAAAACAAAAATATTGGCAGACTTAATTGCCACTATTCCACAGCCTAAATAAGAGCTGGAAATTAATTTTCGCTTCTGGCCATAAAAGCCTCGCAAATTGCACACCAAACCCCAAAATTATGTCTAGTAGTAATAAAATCTATTTGGGCTGGAATTATAGAATGAAAGGGGCTGATTTTAAGAGCCACAGTATATTAAAAAGGCACAACAGCAAGAATAAGAAAAGTGACTTGAGGAGAAAATGAAAGCTGTGAGGTGACCCTTTTCTAGCTAAACTTTCAATAGGGAGAAACCATCTGGAAAATTAGTTAAAAAACAAAACAAAACAAAACAAAAACCCTAGCACACCTCAAAAAAGATTCTGAAACATTAGACCTGACCAGTCAAGTCCCTCTGATCTGGTGTCTAAGAGGACCGGGGCGAAGCACCATCCCGCAGCAATGCCCTGCGATGTGGTAGGTGCTCCATAATCATGTGCTGAATGAATGGACGAAAGAAACACGCACTAGCAGGAAATGTGTAATCAGATTATTCCTTGAGTGTCTACTATGTCCCAGGCACTGTGATAGTGTGCTGTTCAGAAATGAGCTCGTTTAATTCTCAAGATTCCACAGAACAGACATTAGGACACATGTTTGATGGAGGCAGAACCAGGCCCAGAGGGGCGAGGCGACCTGCGGAAGGTCCCACGGCCCGGGAGCGAGGCAGAGAGAACCCAGGCCTCGGCTGGCCTGACCCCCCAGCCCGCGTCCTTCTGCGTTGCTTGCTGCTGCAGAAGAAGAGTGGGCCCGAGGGGCTCGCTGCGAAGCGTGCCCCTCCGCCCGGGAGGCAAGCCTGGGTGTGACGGCAGCGTTCCGGAACGAGCGGCCAGCCCTCAGCCCCGACGCAGCAGCCCCAGGACGGGAAGCGCCTCGGGCAGCGCGCCCAGTACCTCTCGGCCTCCTGTGCTCCTCGTCCAGCTTCGCGTACACCTTCAGCTCCACCCGCAGGGACTGCAGGAGCCTGTCGTTCTGGGAGAGCAGCTGCTGCCTCGACTTCGCCTCCTCCTGCACCCTGGAGAGGCCCCCCCCGCCACAGGGAGGGGACGTTAATTCTGACGCACGGGGACTTGCTCTGACTCCACAGCCGGCAGAGTGTGGACGAGACTGACAAGCGTGGGTGACAATTCCAGTCACGGCCACTCCTTCCTGAGCGTGGGAGCCCTGGGCCCGGCCCGGACGTGCGTGATCGACACCCAAAGCGTACGTGCTCTCAGTCCCCAGTGCACAGATAGCATATGAGGAAGTGAAGCTTAAAGGTTACGTCTCACCCAGGGGTGCAGAGCTCGGGAGGGCCCGGGACTGCACGATGGCAAGAGAGCGATCTTGCTGGGGGACAACTGGAAACATGGGACAAGACAGAGACGAGGGGAAACTGCAAAGGGGACGGGCAGTACGAGCCCTTTCATATCTAAGTCGGACAAACGTCCCTCCTCTGCGCAGACTCCCTCCGTGGCTTCCCAGTCACTCAGAGTGAAACCCCAGTCCTCCCCACGGCTGCGAGGGCCTACGGGACTCGGCACCCAGCCTCTCCGGTCCCCCTTCACTCCAGGCGCACTGGCCTCCCTGCTCCGCCCCGCACAGGCCAAGGACACCCTGCCCCAGGGCCCCCACCCCTCCGCTGCCTTCAGGTCGCCGTTTAATTCAGAGAGGCCGACCCTGACGTCCCCCGGAGAAAAACAGCCATCTGCCCCCCCAGGCCCTACCCTCCTCCCTCAGACGATTCTGCTCCTTGGGCTTTGCTCCCACCTGACGTCGTGTGCCTGAGTGTTTGCTGGCCTTCCCCGGCACTTGGGCAGGGGTCAGCGCGCCCCAGGGTGACCCTGACCGCTACCTGCTCAGTTCGTTGCGGGTGCTGCACACTTCCCGGAGCAGCTGCTGGGAGTGCCTGTCCCGCTCGCAGACCTCCCTCTGCAGCCTCTCATTCTCCTCCCTCAAGCAGGCGTACTCTCGCTGAAGGAGCTCGAGGTTCGCAGCCTTCCTGGAGAGGGACTCGCGTAATTTCTCATTCTCCTTCTGTTTATCTGCAAACACAAAAAAAGCACCACTGAGAAGAGACACCATTTGTTTTTTCCAACCCTATTACGCAAATACGGCCCTTCAGCTCAAGCACTCCAGGAATACAAAACAGAATGAGATTTAATCTGGCATTTATGATTTTGGCATTCCAATTATCTTATGCATTTTGGGCAGATAAATCTGTCAACATCAAGGCTGCAGATTAAACGTCACTGGGATGAAATGGGCCTGTTTAATTTTCTATACAATAATGGGCCGTGCAAACCTAGTTACTTTGCCGTCGCGGAGCAAACCGTGGGTATAAATTATAGACACAGGCAAGAAACAGTCCCAAACTCTGGCAACGGATGTGAGAAAAGTCCGTAAGCCCTCCGGTAAAGCCAGCAGGGCTGTGCAAAAGGCAACCTGGGGCCCCATCTGCTCCTCAGCCCAGGAGAGCACCTCTCCTGATGGAGAAAACACGCCCAGGACCCAGAGACACCCAGGACCCAGAGACGGGGCAGTTAAGAGCACGCCCCGGGGGCACAGTGGCATGTTCAAGTGCACTCTTCTGCCTACTCGGAATCTAGGGACAGAGAGATTAAGACTTCCTTCCCCAAGGTCACAAAGCCAAAGAGGGGCCGAGCTTTTCAGGTCCCACTCTTCGCCCCGGCATGCTGATTTCTGAGCAAGTGCTCCCCTCCTCCTTCACACTCCAGCCACAGTGAGCTTCCTACAAGTCCCGAGTGGTGGATACTCTCCCTGCCACTAATCCCCAGGCCTCTGTCTGCTCTCTTTCTTCTACTTAAAAGGCCCTGGCTCTTCTAAATCTTAGGCACCTTGGCTAATCCCTGCTGAGCCTTCTGGACTGAGCTCTTGAAGCCGAGCCTCTCCTGGGTGTTGTGCTCCCTGAGCCTGCCTTTGTCAAGCCTGATCCTCATGCTGGCCTGCCACGGGCTGCCCGGCTGCCTCTCCCATCAGACCACGAGTCCCTCGAGGGAGGGGACCAGGTCTCATTCATCTCTGTATCGGTCTACACAGGCCCTAACATGTCTGCTGAGTGAATGAATGATCTGCAGAAGCCTGGATTCTGTCTCTTAAGACAACAGCCACATCAGTATCCTCTAGGGAAAGTAGAGACGCTGACCCACGTCCCAGGTCTGCCCATTTCTAGACAAGGGACCACCGGCCGGTCAACTCCCCAGGCCTCAGTTTCTTACCTATAAAACAGGACTGATAATTCCTCCTTCCAGAAACATCTTAAGTACTGAGAGATACTGTAGGTGAAAGCTCTTTGGGGACTAAGCTCCAAAAAGAAAGAATTAAGAGAAAGGATCTTCCTAAGAAATACTAGGGGCGCCTGGGTGGCTCAGTCGGTTAAGCGTCCGACTTCAGCTCAGGTCACGATCTCGCGGTCCGTGAGTTCGAGCCCCGCGTCAGGCTCTGGGCTGATGGCTCAGAGCCTGGAGCCTGCTTCCGGTTCTGTGTCTCCCTCTCTCTCTGCCCCTCCCCCATTCATGCTTTGTCTCTCTCTGTCTCAAAAATAAATAAACATTAAAGAAAAATTAAAAAAAAAAAAAAAAAAAAAAAAAAAAGAAAGAAATACTAGAAAACCTCCCTGATAGTAGGGAGCCTCTGGATGAGATTCTGGCAGAGTAATGCATTTCTAGCTTTTCTCTCTTCCACCATAAACTGAGGCAAACGAGAGGTGGCTGTATACTTATTACAGATACTGTGCTAAGGGCTTCACAGAGATAACCGTCACAACTGCCCCCTGAGGTACTCTTATTTTACAGCTAAGAATACTGAGGTTCAGAGAGGTTAAGGGACCTGCGCAAAGTCACAGAGCCACAGAATTTGAACCTAGGTTGGTCAGACTCCAATGCATTCTTCCCAGGCCACAGAGGGCTGTGGGGTTCCAGCCGGCAGATGGCTCCGTTAGTTCCTACCTCTGGATCCCTTGGCGAGCATTGTATTGAGAGCCTGGTTCTGCTTCCTCAGGAAACAGATCTCTGATGTCAGAGAATTATGCAGCTCTGATCCATAAGCCAAACCGTTCGTAGAACCTACAAAAGCACACATGAAAAGTGATTTATGGATAGTTGCCAGGTCAGTATGCACGGAACTTTCTAGAAAACAGTTTTAAACGAGGAGGAAACACAATATGCAATGGAAATGACTTCAGTGAAGCAGATGAGGTATCACAAGAGTCCAAAGGGAAATAAGAGTGAGCTTATTAAAGAGGAGGCAAAAGGCACCCCCTCCCGTTCTCACCTGCCCTCAGGGTGAACGAAGGTGAGTGGGTGACAGTCTTAACCTCCACGGATGTCTCTCCTGGGGTCCACACCTTCAGTAGACCTCTCCGCTGAGGCAAGCTCCCGGGCCCCAGAGCCAAAGCTGAAGCCTTCCCCTTTCCTCCCTCACCTCCCAAACCTGCCCTCTTCTGCTTGTTTCTGCTCCTATAGATGTTATCACCACCACCCCTAATCTGAGCTGCAAACCTGAAGTCATCCTAACCACCACTCTCTGGCATTGCCCAAGCAGGCAATCACGACTGCTGGCTCTTCCTCACCAGCGCCTCGGATGCCGGCCCACTCTTTTCCGTCCCTGTAGTTCAAGCTTCATCACTGCGCCCTGACCTTGCCCCCCTGCTACTCTGCCAGTGGGGGGCACGCAGTCCACTCAGGTTATCCCCTGCTCAGAAACACCTGACGGCCCTCCGCTGCGAAGACAGACAGACAAACCAAACACGAGGCCCAAACTTCAGACCTCCATTATTTCACTCCAATCTCACGCACAGCCTGCTCCCTCTCTACCCTGGACTCTAGTGGCCTCGGATGCCGCCAAACTGAGCTACTTCTGTGCCCCCACATACCGTGCGGTCACACATCTCCCAGACCCTGTACAGTGAGGTCGTGAGGTCTTTATTCTCTGGGCCTCGAATGCCCAGCTCCTTCTTCACCTGTCAAAATCACAGTTGTCTTTCAACTCTCAGCTCAAGCTCACAGCCTCTGAGTATTTAATACAACAAAGATCAGGGTCCACAGCCAGACATACCGGGGTTGAGGTCACTTACAAACTCTGGCCAGTTTCCTCGTCTGTAAATATCTGCCCAGGCTGTGGACTCTCTCCGAAAATCCCACTCCTTCCTCTGGCCGGACAGCTGCTCTGACACTCCCTCCACCTCAGCTTTCTGCACTGCACCCTGTGTAATGTCCAGAGCGTGGGGACGTGCTACCTACCCTCTGCAGAGCACAGGGCTTTCCGCGTGAGGCAGGCAGGGGCGTCCCTCCCGCCACCTTCCTTACTACACCACACGGCCAACATGCCAGAGCCTGCTTTCCCAGACCCCGGCACAGCTAGAACACGGCCAGGGGCCACTTCCGGTCAACGAGACCCGACGGGAAGCCTGCTGGAGGCTTCTGGGAAAGGTTTCTCACCCGGATGGAGAGAGCAGAGCAGGGGGAAGCCCCACCATCTTCGTCCCCGTGCTTTGGACACTGTCCTGAGAGGATGTGGTATTATAGTGACTGCGGCCATCACAGATACTAACTCCAAGCCCTGCTATCATTTCACGGAGTCATTAAACCTGCCTTGGAACTGCCTGCATCCGCATTTCTTGTTACGGAAGACAACAGAAACCCCCATTGTTTACACCGGTTTTTCCTCATATTCTGCTCTCCGCAGCTGAAAGCATCCTGGTCCACAAAGGATTCCCTGTAACGTTCAAACTCCCCGTAAGGAAGCTATGACATCAGGCTTCCCAGAAGCCAATGTTCCACAGTCTTTCTGCACAACAGCACTCCCCTTCCTCGGGTTAATGACTCACAAATCATAACGTCACATCATTTTTTCATTCACATATGTCTCTCCCCTATGAACTCTGCCGTCTTTGCAGAGACAACTGGGGTTGAATCATGGCTCTGGCTTCTTAATGGCTGTATGACCTCAGGTACGTCATACAACTCCACGAGCCCAATAAAAATGATCAATGTTGTTATTATTACTGCTATTACCGTTTGTATTAATATCATGACTGATGATAGGCTAGAGCCCAAAACGGGACCAAACAGCCATCTGGATGAACAGGAAACATTCTGCAGAAGAAGTCTGCTCTGACCACAGCTAGCGTGGTCGCTTCTCAAAGGGAGACCCAGGCCAGAGAAGGGCTCCTGACAGAGCCCGAGCCAGCGGGGTCCAGTGCTGAGGTAAGAGGCCAGTCTTTCCTCTGAAGGCATCACTACCAGCTCCCCGTAACTGGTGACAAGCTACCACGTGAGATGACAGTTTTAACAATATTCCACCTCCAATCACAAGGAGCCAGGCCTTTCTCAAAGCCGCTCCCAAGATGAACGACTCACAGCAGGGGGGAGGCGGAGCCACTTTTCTTTCTTTGTCTTTTCAGAGATTGTGAAGACAAGGTGAGAACAGCGCCTCTTTCCACCAGCCACCAGCGTAAATACTTTATGAATGCCTTTTTTGTAAACCTTCCCATCAGAGTGAATTACTCTGCAGAGCAACTGCCAGCTCCGTTGTAGCTGGTGGCCATGTGAGCCCCCAAATAATTCTATAATTGGATTTGCCAGGAAAAATGTAAAACAGAATGAATCTAATTCAGGCATTACCAAGAGTGAATGTGAAGGGTCCAGGCATGTATTTCTTCCCAGGGTTTGATAGGACTAATAACTCAGGTTAATCAATTTCTCTGGGGGTGAGAGACAGGGAGGGAGCAGGATGGGGGGTGGTGTGGAGAGTGGGGGAGGGAGGGAGAGGGAGGCGTGGGTGGGTCCACTCTGTTTATCTCGCACACCGCAGCACATATAGTACTCTGGAAAGATCCTTCCAGGCTGATGGCTACGACAGACCAGGGGTCCAAGGACTCAAGTGCTTCTATGGAGTTCATCTTTCTAGAACTCCGTGATTTAATCTCTAAAATCGTTTGCATCCCCCCTTGTTGCTGAGCTTTGCAATGTCCAACTAATAACGTTGTACAAAATAAAATAGTGAAATAACATGATAATGGCAAAGAAAACAACCACGTCTTGAGTGAGGCACAGAGCAACGCCCTATTCAGAGCACTGCCTTATCGAAATCTCACGATGACTCTGTTTTGTACAATAATGAAAGCCGGGAGAGGTGGGGTGGCTTGCCCAAAAGCCCCCCAGCTGATACACGGAAGAGGCCGGGGTCCACACTCAGCTCAGTCCATCTCCCAAGCAAACTCGGGCTCTTTCCCAGGGCACAAAGCTGCTCCCAAGGCACATTCTTCAGGTACGAAAACAATCTCTTTGGAGCAACAAGGAAAGATGTCCAAAAATATTCTGTTCAAGGAAAACAGGCACAGGCATTAAGTATTCTACCTTTTGGGCGAGGGAAAGAGTAAGAAGATATATTTGCATTTGCACTGAAAAACCACTGTAAGGTTGTGGAAGACACCTACCAGAGGTGGGAGGAGAGGAGCCAGGAGAGGATGGATGGGCACAGAACAGAGGTACTAAGTTCTGTACCATGTGAATGTCTTCCCTACGGAAAAACCCATTTTTAAGTTCCGCATGGAAGAATATTCCATTCAGATCTAACTGTGTTTACGCAGGAATAATGGCGACCTGGGAACGGGCGTGTGAGACTCTCACCAAACTGCCTACACGCTAATACTTTTTAAAATCCATTACTGACAAAAAGACGAAACGCCGCTCTGTTTTATTTTAAAACCCCCTATCTGTTTCTCTACAGCCACCGACGTCACATGAAGAGCCAAGCACAATCCAGGGTGCAGGGGCCGGCGGACTCGTTCAGTGCCTGGGAAGTCACTCCATGCCAGGGACCGTGCGGGCACCCTGCTGAAGTTAGCTCACTCAATCCTCATCGTACCAGGATAAAACGGGGACTATCGTCCCCACGTCATGAACACAGTACTGTAAGTAACACGTTACAGTATTTCCGCAACGTTAAGTGAGGTCACCATGGAGGTGAGCGGCGAGGTCAGGATTTGAGCGGAAATCTCTCTGGCCACCGGGGTGAGTTCTCCCCAACACGGGGAAAGCTTATCCAGGCAAACGTAACCGGAGTCCCTTCCCGGATGAAGCACAGGCAGGCTGGCGACAAGGTCCTCCCTTACCTTGATCAAATTCACACCCTTGCCTTTCCAGTTGTCCCCGAAGTTTCTCGTTTGTTTTGATTGATTCTTCTAAACGTCTCCTCAAGCTTCGAATTTCTTGTATATGTTCCATTACTAAGTCTATGGGAAGGAGAGTATTTTTAATTTAAAGTCTGAAGCCCCCAACAAATGGAATAATTTACAGATTATGCCACGATCTTGAAATTCTAAATTGTGCGGGACGTGTTGAGTCAGTCAGTAACTGGCGATTTTTTCCCAGGCATGGTGACCACAGCCCACAGACACAGCTCTGTAATGATTCTCTGCAGCCCTCCACAAGGAGGGGGCTTTACAGCACATGGAAAAATTATATTCCATACAATTTTAATGCTAGCTGTAATGCAGCCCTTTATTCTTCTAAATATCAAATATTAATTTAAAATCTTCCTTATGGTGAAACTAACAGATCACTTTCAAGTCTGCCTGAATTGCCTGAGAGTTGATTAAACTACCTTCATAATGAATCCAGATATTTTTGAGACTAATTCTCTGGAAGGAATATATTTATCCATTTGCCACTTACTAATTTAAGACTTAAACACAAAGCAAAATGATAATCCCAGTGCTAGTGAAAGTTGTAAGGAGGGTACTCTCAAGGGCACATCCTGTTCGTGTGAATATAAATGTGCGTGACTTTGGGGAACTATTTTTATCATTAGCCGTAGAAGGGTTCTTTTCCAATGTCTTTCCCCAAATAAGCCTACTTCTAGGAATCTATTCAAAGAGATCACCAGACATGCTGACAACCATGTGCCAGAATGCATGAAAATGTTAATCTTCAGCACTATACGGAGCACTTAAAACTGAAAATAACTCAGATTATTAAGTAAGCTGTGTTACATCCACCGTGATGCAATACGACACAGCTACTGAAATTATATCATGAGGACCATGTAATATCGCAGAAAAACACAGATACAAAATGGATTATCCAGCACAATTATAACTCTATTTAAAAGTTTACAGACAGAAAAGACACATAAACACACAAAAAAGAAAAGATACCTAAATATTGACAGCAGTTGCCTTTGGGTGTTAGATTTCAGGTTTCTCAAAACTTCTACACTGTATCTCAATATAACATTTAATAAGATGTAAAAATTTAAATTTCCCAAATGTTCTAAACTGAGCATGTCCTATTTTTCTAGCCTCTGCCACATCTCACTTGAACAAAGAAAGGAGGAGACACAGTTGCAATCTCGAGGTACACTCTAGAATCAGGATCTAAAGCATAACCACATTAGGTACCCAAAGGCAAAACTAATGTCTTTAATTCATCAATTAGGGTACACTCAGTGTGTCTTAGTAATGTTTGTTTTAAAACATTAGACTAATGTTATGACCCAGTTTTAATTCCTCCAAAATGACTTTCATTTAAAAGTAGCACCATGTTACAGATCTTTTCCTAATTAAATAGTAATTCTGCCATGAATCTGAATGTTTATGAGGTGACTTAATTCCCGGGCCTTCAGCTATCTCGATTAATGCCCGAAGTGTGGCCAGTCATCTGGTGGAACGTGCGAGGCCCTCGCCGCAGCCCGCAGCCGGGGGAACCCGTCTGCAGCCAGGTCCTGGCGGCACCTCCCGTCCCTGCCTGGCTGCCTCGCAAATCTGCCGGCGGCCAGTCAGGACGGAGTGAGGCGGGAACTTCTCTATTTCCACCGCAGTCCTCCACTCGGGTTTATATCTGCATCACCCGCTGCCGGCTTCTGGGGTAACAGCGCTTGGCAGCCATGGGCCCGCGTCACCTCCTGCTGAGTCTGGCCAGGGGCTGGAAGCATCGCTGGGGCTTAAGGAAACATTCCCAGTCGAACTGGACACCACGTATTAATTATGCAGCCCTAACCGAGAGAGGGAAACACGACACTCATCTTTACAAAACGGGAGAAAAACAGCTGTCCCTCTTACAACTAATATCCTTCTGACGAACGTGAACTCTTTAAAGCCAAAAATCCTGCAAGAAGCAACCGCTAAAACCCGCGTGTGCATCTTTGGCCTCATGTGGTTCCACTTCACAGAATCGAGGAGAAGAAAATGCCCCAAAATAAGGAGAAAGAAAGCTTCGTGTTCAAAGATACTCCCTTGCAGCAGTGTTCGTAACTGTGGAATTTTAGAAAGGACTGAAATGTTCAGCAACGGGGGAACATAAGGAAAACTGCAGTTCAGCCATTCAACGGACTATATTCTAAAGCCACTAAAAATGATGTTATGTAACAACATGTCAGAAAGCTTATGATATAATGTCAAGTGAAAAAAGGAAAAATCCTTAAATTATCTCTCTACTTAGAATAAAAACACGACAAAAGGAAAAACAGATGCAGAGAGCAAAAGTCTGAAGAGAAGCAAACCAAAAAAGCTAAAAGTGAAGTGTGTTAGGAGGGCTCCAGAGAACACTGTCCCCATTCAGGAAAGTGCTTGGTAAATTTCACCGGGAGGGCATGATAAGCCCAAGGTCAGGGGTGCCCAGAATAATGAGACGTAAAGGAGATGCCTAAACGGTTCTATATTGGAAATAAACCAAGGTTGGCGGGGGGGGGGGGGGGGGGGGGGGGGGCAGACATGTGGGAGGGTAGGAAAAAAGAGGGGCAGGCGAGAGAAAGTAGAGAGAGAGGTACCCAGCACCATATCAGATGGGTTTGAAAGAACAGAGATCTCAAATATTCCCATTAAATGATCTGGCCTGCTGCGCTGTAACCCCCCACTGCCTTATAATTCCTCAAGCCCTCAATCAAGTATGTTTCTCCCACAAAGGCCTTGCAGGAGTCGATTCGGGGGTTCTTGGAAAGGGAATGAGTTCCATGCCAGGTTGATACAGTACAGAAGGAAGTGCAAATAAGGACAAGGAAACAACTCATAGGTCTGACCCAAATCAGCAGAAGGCAAATCAAAGAGCCAGAAATAACTGAGAGAGACCTAGTACACAAGACTCACAGAAGTCACACAGGGATATAGCCAGAGATCCAAAGAAGGCACATCTAGGTAACTGGCTACTAGAAGAACCCAGGTAACACCTCAGTTATATCACACGTGTATATTCCACACTCCGGGTATGTTTTCAGACTGTGCTCCTCTGGGCTCGGGGTATCCTAGAGAAGCCTCAGAAGCCACCAGGGAGGATAAAGGCTCTACCTGCAGGCCTTTCACATGTTTGGCCTCCGTGTAAAGTTTCATCTGAAAAAAAGGGGGGTGGAGCTCTGTTGCTAAAAAAGATTTTGATTTTCGAAAACCGCGTTCTATGTGATCAGGTGTCAACAAAGGGCTTTTAGAATGGAGGTGCCAATGTCTGATTCGTGCTCTGGGTCCACTCTGGGTGTCTTGCAAACCACCACTGGAAGAAAGGAGAGACCAGAGAATGTCAGCTGAGGTCCAGAACGTATACCAAGGGTCAGAAAACCACAGCTCCTAGGTCGAACCCACCTACCACCTGTTTTGGTAAATAAAGTTCTATTGGAACAGAGCCACACTCGCTCATTTACGTTTTGTCTATGGCTGCTTTCTGCTACAACAGGATTGAGTAACTACAACAAAGACCGTATGCTCCCCAAAGCCCAAAATATTTACTATCTGGCCTTTGCCAGGAAAAATTTGCCAATCCCTGGTCTATATTATCCCTTGAACTTCGGAAATACATTGACTTATAAACATGAATCCCTCCCTAACACGCAACAGGAGGCAATGAAGACTGTAAATGCAGAAGAGGTAAAAGGGAGCTCGGGTAGATGGAGGCTTGGGAGACTGATTCTACCGACTGAGCCTATGGGCCACAGTCAGAGGCAGGACAAGGGACTGAGCCGAAGGATGAAGGGTCACACACTAAAGGGAAATACTGCAGACTGACATAAGTACAAAATGTTCAAATGGTGGGTGGGGGGGGGGGGAGGGGGGGGCAGGGGGCGTTAGGTGCTCTGGGGAATCTGTACGATTCAAAGCAAGAGTCTTCAAAGCGACAGTGCCTCGGAAAGCGTCTGAAAGGAACACCAGGAAATTAACCACACTTGGAACAGACACATAACCTCTGCTTTCCAGCCTGTTTTCTGCCACTGTCAGAAGCACGAGGAAATGGCAAATCACGTACTAAGTCATCATTAAGAAATAAAAATGACTCTTCCCCAATCACCAACACTTTCAACAACCGCAGCTTTCCCTGGTGATAAATGATAGTCTGAATGACCAGCTTTGGCCCTGCCAGGATCTCCTTTCATCAGACAAATATTCGAATGTCACTACGCTCTGCTTACTCAGGCAAGACGGCAAATTACTGTTTAAACCAGGAAACCTTGGCCGCATCTGAAGTGCTTAGCAAAGCTCAGCTTACCTTGAGAAAAATGGTTCGCCATTACCGAGGTCCTCCCGGTCTCACTGTCTTGCTTCTGGTCTCGTGAGAGGCCGGAGGACTTCTCGGACATTTCACAGTCGGACAACGCGTGAGAGGCAGAAGGCTCAGGAGACTCAGGCAGGATGTGTTGGTAGGTTAAATTGTCTTTCTCAATCCTTGACCATAGGGATTGAAAGAGAAATCGTTTCCCACACTAAGATTCCAAGCCAGGACCATGACTTGGGAACAAACACTTAAGATCACTTGGCCCCTTGTAATTTCCCCGTATTTACAACTTTGTTTTGGAGCCCTTTTGCTTCCCCGGAGCAGTTTTTAGTGAGGACGCTCTAAAAACAAAAAGCACTCCGTGGGCTTGAGTCCGGAGCCAGTGAAGGGGGAGCCACTACGTGGCTTATGGGGAGGGAGCCTAAGAAAGAGCACGGGTCAAAGGCAGCTGCTTATCGAGGGCTCCCTCTGTACCAAGCATGTTAGATGTACTACCTTACCTGGTCCCCACAGAAACCCTCTGAGGCAGGGACGACCATCCTCATTCAGAGCTGGGGAGACTGAGCCGCATCACAAGCTCGCTCACTGTCTCACAGCTTCTTAGTGGCAGAGCTCACACTTGAACCCAGGACTGTCTGGCTCTGGGACCCCAGGAGAAAGTGGGAGGCCACCTCAAACCCATGAAGAGACCTTATGGGTTTAAAACTCTCAAAACCTTCACGGCCTCCAAGCAAGTCCCAAAACCACCACTCTGGCAATCATCTGGTTATTAACCTGTATTTGCCAAGAGCCACCTAAGCCATAAAGAAGAACACCCTGAACTCTGCGAAAAGCCCACCTGAGTCTCCATTATAGATAAGCTCCTTAATTTAAGCTCTTTTTTTTCTCCCACTTTTTCCTATTACTTCTTGTCTCATTATTCATGAGCTCAGACAAGAGCAAAGGACTCCGGAGCTGCCACGCATTCATTAACAGGTAAACACCAGATGCAACTTCGCCCAGACAGTGTGATGGACGCACGGGCTTGTCGCTGCCTTGCCAAAGTGCCGAATGGGCCACGGGCACCCATTTAATTAGCTTAGGAGTGACCCGTGTGAGCGCTAAGCCTACAGCTGAAAAAGGCAGAACAGAAGGAAAAGAAACAAACCTGTCGGAAACGGGAAGGGTGACACATGGTTAAGGGGGCTG